ATTAAAACTTGAGCTCTGGAGCCTGGGATGTAAGTGGTAAAAAAGTCACTCTATGTGTGTAAGGCTCAGAGTCTGATTCCTGGCATTGCATGGTTCCCCGAGCACAGCCAAGGATGACCCCAGAACACCAGCAGGGAGTAACTCATCACTACTGCCAGGTGTGGCCTCAAAACAAAAACAATAAAGAAAGCCTGAGTTCTGAAAATAAACTAATGACACTGTGTTCCTGCTGTTTGCTTGCTGCATGACCCTTGACCTATTTACTTAACTTCTCTCAGACCCCAGGTCTTTAATAATTTAAAAATGAATAGAAGGCATGATTGAGACCTTATTAGCTGTTGGAGACTGTATGGTAAGCCTTATATGCTTTACAAGCATGATCTCATTTAATCCTTATGTCCTGTGAAGCAGGTACTATTATCTCTCTGTTTTGTAGGCAAAAACATAGATGCACAGAGTGTGCCATTGATTACATTACAGTGACTGTAAATGTAAAACCAGAGTTTGAATATAAGCAATCTGACTCCAAAACTCATGGTTTGAATTCAGTACCTTCTTCAAATATGCAGTAAGAAATAAGTTGATATAAGTTAGTTCTTGTGCATAGTTCCCAGTACATAAATAAGGCTTAGAAAGACTTCTAAGAAAGAAACAGTGGTAGAGTGATGTTGGCACTGTGGTGGTAGGTATAGTATTCCTAAAGTATTAGTATTAGTACTACTGCTTTGGGCTGGAGCGATAGCACAGCAGGTAGGGCGTTCGCCTTACAAGCGGCCAACATGGCCGACCCGAGTTCGATTCCTCCGCCCCTCCCGGAGAGCCTGGCAAGCTACCGAGAGTATTCGATATGCCAAACACAGTAACAGCAAAGTCTCCAATGGAGACGTTACTGGGCCCGCTCGAGCAAATCGACGATCAACGGGAGGGCCTTTACCTTTGGGCTGGAGCGATAGCACAGTGGTAGGGCGTCTGCCTTGCACGCAGCCAACATGGCCGACCCGAGTTCGATTCCTCCACCCCTCTCGGAGAGCCTCGGAGAGCCCGGCAAGCTACGGAGAGTATCTCGCCCGCACGGCAGAACCTGGCAAGCTCCCCATGACGTATTCGATATGCCAAACACAGTAACAACGAAGTCTCCAATGGAGATGTTACTGGGCCTGCTCGAGCAAATCGACGAACAACGGGAGGGCCTTTACCTTTACCTTTTACTACTGTTTTAAAACAGGATGCCTTGGCCAAAATTTGATGTTTAATTAATTCATTTCTATAGCACTGTATAGCAGTGTCCTTCCTTTGTTCATCAATTTGCTTGAGTAGGCACCAATAACGTCTCTATTTGTGAGACTTATTGTTGTTGTTGTTGTTTTGGGGGGTCACACCCGGCAATACACAGGGGTTACTCCTGGCTCATGCACTCCTAGTGGTGCTCAGGGGACCATATGGGATGCTGGGAATCGAACCCGGGTCGGCCACGTGCAAGGCAAACGCCCTACCTGCTGTGCTAGCACTCCAGCCCCATTGTTTTTACTGTTTTTGGCATATCGAATATACCATGGGGACCTTGCCAGGCTCTGCCATGCAGGTGGGATACTTTCGGTAGCTTGCCAGGCTCTCCAAGAGGGACAGAGGAATTGAACCCAGGTTGGCCACGTGCAAGGCGAATGCCCTACCCACTGTGCTATAGCTCAAGCCCAGGGATCATTTCTATAGTTCTTTACTAGAGAAGCTTCTCTGACTGTAGAGCACTCAAATTCATTTCTATAATAAAAATGGTATTACTATTAATAGATAATATGATTTTTTTTTGGTTTTTGGGTAACACCTGGCGATGCACAGGGGCTACTCCTGGCTCATGCACTCAGGAATTACTCCTGGTGGTGCTCAGGGGACCATATGAGATGCTGGGAATTGAACCTGGGTCGGCCACATGCAAGGCAAATACCCTACCCACTGTGCTATTGCTCTAGCCCCCAATATGATATTCTTTTCAGCATTGCCAATTTTTTCCAAGAGTCATCTGGGTCAGAAAACCGGTTGCTGTCTTTTTGGGAAGTGGGAGGTTCACACAAAGTGGTGCTCAGGAGTTATTCTTGACTCTGATCTGTGCTCAGGTATCACTCCTGGTGGGGCTTGGGAGAATATATGTGGTGCCAGGGAGTGAACCTGTGTCAGTTAAGTACAAGGCAAGTACCCTACCCAGCCCTCAGATAACTTGCTTGTACATGGGATATTTTGTGTCCATTTCAGTTAACTTGACCATTATTGTCTTGTGGTTGAGTTCTTCTATTTAAAAAAAAAACATATAAAATGGGTTACTTGGTTAAGAGATGGTCTAAATGGCTGCCTTTTTTTTCCATGTAAAATAGCTCACCTGGGGAAAAAACAGCATAATGAGCAATAGAAGAATTACAGCAAATACTCAGGTTATAAATGAATTGCATTTTAAAAATTTACTTGTCAGGGGCTAGAGATAGTACAGTGAATAGAGCACTTGCCTTGCAAGCAGCTGACCCATATGGTCCCCTGAGCACTGCCAGGGTTGATTCCTGAGCATTGCCGGGCATGGTTTCCCCATCAAAAAAGATGAATGTTCATTTATTGTTACAAATTCTGAATACAGAGAAATAAGGTTACAAATGGTGGTACATTCCAGAACTATTCACAGAAGTATCTTTAGTCTATTTTAAAGCTCAAAGATAGAAATCATGCCAGTAAACACAGGGCTGACCTAGGAACAAGAGTCCATGTGATAAAAGAATCAGAACAGTGTCTTCTCTGTTACAGAGGAATGTTGATATAGATATAACAGTGATTTATTTCTATGTAAAGTATTACCTCAAAACTTACCATCTTAAAACAAGAAACATTGATCTCAAAGTCTCTGTGGGTCAGCTGTGAGTGACCAGTCTAGGTGGTTCTGCTCAGGATATCATAGGAGGTTTTGGTCCACATGGCTCAGGCAGCAGTGAACTGAAGTAGCAGGGACTAGAGGAGCCACTTCCAATATGGCTCACTTGAAAGGCTTGTTGGCAATTCAATATCCTCAGCACACAGACATTTCTATGGTGCGGCTCAAATTCCTCATGGCCTGGGTGTTCTGGCTTCCCCCCAAGCTGAAATATCAAAGTGAGAGACCACGGAAGTAGTTTGTAATGTCTTCTATGACATACTCTTTTAAGTCATCCATTGTTACATCGCTACAGCCTATTCATTATTCAGTAGGAATAGCCAACAAAATAGAGGGAATTCAGCTCCTCATAAATTTGTAGATATATGTTGAATCACTATATATATTTTTTGTCCTCCAATCACTTTCCTCAGGTCCCCATTGATGCTGAAGAGTAAAAGTAAATTGTGAAGCAGAACTGCAGTATTACCAAGTTTACTTTAATATGCAAAATAGCTCATGTTTATCTCAACTTTCCTGGTAACATCTATGCACTTTCCTTAAGAGAAATACAATTTGAAGAATTAATACTTGAGAGTGCTCATCACAAACCTGAAAATTTTGCTCTATTCATTTGTATTTCTCATTAGTAGAGTTCCAGGCAGACTGAAAAACTGAAAATAAAAACGACATGTAATCTATTCCAAACTCAGGAAATTAAGATACTGGAGGTTAGGAAGGCATCCCTCAACTTTCTCCCTTCAGCTGCTAATGATTGAGGATCCTATTATGAAATTTGCCTTGGTCTTGGGACCCATGAGATCCTAGTTTTCCGGACTTGAATCAGCGGCAACTCCACAAACATGTTGGGCAGTGGTCGCTGAGAACAGAAGGAAAAAGCCCTGAGACTGTTGGTGTGGCCTTTCCCTCCACCACCCTCTCCCTCCAAAAAAGGAAAAGCAACTCGTGCTCTTGCACTAGTCAAGCAAGATCCGAAAACGTCGTCTGAATCTTCAGAAGCAAATAAGATCAATTTTCATTGTATTTTTCTGTAACCTGAAATTTTATAATCCCATGTAAACTTGTCGAAATACATTCAAAAACACTAAAGAGGAGTTGGCATTACATTTCAACTCCAGTTAGAAGCTTCACCTGAGTTCTGACAGTGCTTGAAATCTTCTGTGAGTTTTAACCCCATTTGGGGAGGGGAGATCTGAGGGACAAGACTCCTTTCCTGGGCACAGCCAGACACTGCCCTTGGCTCCCCGCTGATGAATGTGATGGAGACTATGAACTCAAAAAAGTACACAGACCCACAAAATTTTGCACATGAATTTGTGAGTACTGGATCCCCTATAAATCCACGCAGGTTATCTGGATTAAGAATCACTTACAGAAGGGGAAGCGTGGGACCTACTGCCATTCCATCTAGCCATCAAAATGTAGGTATAAACCAAAAGCTACCACTCAGAGTGTCATCCTGCTCTTTCCTTTCGCTGTTTGTGAGACAGAACCATAGGCCAGAGCGGACACCTCCACGGGTGTTTTCGGGGCTTGGATAAAAGCCATGTCGTGAATACCACGGAAGCAAACGGCGCGTGGCCAGGAGCACGCAGAGGACGCTGCGTATTTGCCGAGAATAGAAACCCCCTCCCTGCTGGACTCGCCCCTCCAATCTGATCTGACTGGGCAGCCTTGGCCAACTTGTCAGAGCGGCAGCTCGAGGAGAGAATCCCGGCGCGGCCTCCCTCTGGGGGGGCGGGCTCTCAAAATTCCTTTCTGGGTCCACGAGGCCCCCAGCTCGTGATTCCTCAGGCCGAGCTTCGGGGCGCGAACTCGCGCGCCGCGCCGCGCCGCCCCGCCCCGGGAGGGCCCAAACGGATCTGCCCCCCACTCCTCAGCGGAGGAGCCGGACTAGAGCCGCCCCTGCTCCCGGGCCGCGGCCGCCCGTGACCCCGGGGCCGAGGCGGGCGCCGCGCCCGCGCCCGCGCCCCCGCCCCGCCCCGCCCCGCCCCGCGCAGCGGGCCTGCGTGTCCTCGCGCCGACCCCTCCCTCGCGCGCCTCGCCCGCGGCCGCTCCGGCGCACGCGCGCGGCCTGGAGCAGGGCGGGCTGAGGCGGCGGCCGCCGGCCCCCGGCCCCGAACCTGTCACACCCGGGGAGCCGGCCGGCAGCGGCGGGCGCGTCCAGGCGCTAGGACTGCCCCGCTCGCCCGCGGACGCCGGGCCCAGCCGGGTGAGCCGGCCCCGCCGCGCCGGCAGGGGGCGGGGAGATGAGCGGCGGCCCCGAGGCAGCGCCCCAGGTAGACGCGCCGCCCCTCGCGCCTCGAGGCGACCCCGCGCCCCCGAAGTCGCACGCTGCACGCCGCGCGCGGCCGGGGAAGTCGCGGAGCGCGCGGGGCGCCTCGCATTGATCGCGCCTTTCGCCTTTCCGCAGCATGGGCACGGACGCCCGGCTCTGCCAGCGGGAACTGGGGCTCCGGTGAAGTAGGAGCCGCCGCCGCCGCCGCCGGCCGGCCGCCCGCCCCGAGCCGCCCCGCTCCGCCTCGGCCATGGCCGGGTCGGGCGCGTGGAAGCGCTTCAAGTCGCTGCTGCGGAGGGAGGATGCGCCGCTCTTTCTCAATGACACCAGCGCCTTCGACTTCGCCGACGACGCGGCCGACGAGGGGCTCTCTCGGTTTAACAAACTTCGGGTGGTGGTGGCCGACGACGGGTCGGAAGCCCCGGAAAGGCCTGTTAACGGGGTGCACCCGGCCCTCCAGGCCGACGACGATTCCTTGCTGGACCAGGACCTGCCCCTGGCCAACAGCCGGCTGAGCCTGAAGGTGGACCCCTGCGACAACTGCAGCCGACAGCGAGAGTCGCTCAAGCAGAGAAGGGTGAAAACCCGCCTGACCGTCGCGGCGCTCCTGTACCTGCTGTTCATGATCGGAGAACTTGTCGGTGAGTGGTGGCGCCAACCCACGGCCCCTTCCCTACCGGCCGCGCGGACAGGTGTGAGCAGGAGCTGAGGTCCACACTCGGTTTTCAGGAGGCGTGGGCTGTATTAGTGAGACGGGTTTCGAGATGATGAAAAGGCCACATGGTTCCAAAGATCAACCTGAGTACAATAGGAACTAGCAGATTACTGACCTTTTCCTCTGGCTCTCCTCAGGGCCGTCCGCCCTTTAGCGGAGGGAAGGACTGGGTATCCCTTAACTTCCTCTTCCCCCCCAAAAAAGATCAAATCAGGTTAGTTTTTATAACGATTGCAATAGTACATGAGGGGCTGGAGAGATCGTACAGCGGGGAAGACACTTGTCTTGCACGTGACCTCCCCGGGTTCCTTCTCTGACACCCCATAGGGTCCCCAAGCCCCTCCAAGCTGTGATCCCTGAGCACAGAGCCGGAGTATGGCCCCCAGACCAAAATATAATAGTAAATAATTCTCAAATTACTTAGAGTCCTAGAATTAAGAACCAGTTCTAAAGCTCCAATTTCCATGTGTTTTTTATTGTTTTTTGATTTTTTATTTTAGTTTTTTTACTGTTGAATTTGTTTTAAGTGGTCCATGATACCATTTACTTTTACATATCTAGTCAAGAGATTTGAGAAAATAAATGTTACCAGCCAGCCTGCAAGTTTTTCAGGATAAGGAGGATCCGGAAGAACTAGAGCAACTCCCTCTGGTTAATGAACTTGATTTTTTCCTTTGCTCCCATGATTCAACAAATATAATTTCAGTGTACATAAATGCTTCTTTTTTAGGTTAATTTCACAGCCACATTGGTGTAATTGATGTCTTCTCTTGGTGACAGTTCTGAAAAGTGACATTGAAAGCAGGAAAATTTCTCCTATGTCACTGTCACTGTCCTCCCGTTGTTCATCGATTTGCTTGAGTGGGCCCAGTAACATTGTGAGACTTGTTACTGTGTTTGGATGTCGAATATGTCACGGGTAGCTTGCCAGGCTTTGCCGTGCGGGTGAGATACTCTTGGTAGCTTTCCGGGCTCTCTGAGAGGGGCAGAGAAATCGAACTCGGGGTGGCCGTGCTCTTAATTATGAACATTAATTAGAATAGAGGTTATAATAATCCATATTGAAGAGGTTGACAGAAGTCATATGGAAGGAAATGATACACATTTCTTCCTTACCTCATTTCTTTTTATTTGTTCTGTGAAGGAGGGCAGGAGTTTGGACCACACCGAGGATGCTCAGGCATCACTCCTGGTAGTGCTCCAGGTACCGTACAGGGTGCCAGGAATCAAACGCAGGTCAACAACATGCAAGGCAAACACCTTATCTTCTGTACTATCTCTGTGGTCCTTTGCTACCTCATTGCATCCCCCTTCTCCCTGTGCTCACTTTCAGCCAAGCGGGCTACTCATAACGACCATTGGTCTGGCCCATCCCTGTACTTAAATGGTTTTTAGACACCTTGACCTCACTATAGTAGGATATGCATTTAACAGTGTAACTCAGGCATATATGTGTATATGCATACGTATAGATGTATTAATGTATGTATAACAGAAAAGTTTTATTTCATATGCTTTTACCCCATATTTTTTTATTTTGATCCCTGCCCATTTAACTGATTCTGTGGTCCACAAATATATCAAGATCTTCAATTTGAAAAGCACTACTTTGCATGAACTCGCTTTCCCACCACCTCAAAGTTTTTGGGTGGTTTCTTGCATTCACATGTCATCTCAAAAAGATACCTTCAACATGCCTTTTATGACTGACTAAAGTAACTCTCTTCTCCTCTTCCCTACTGAACTTTAAAAGCCCTCAGCAACTGATCTCTTTATTTATTTTGTTTTTTAGCGTGCCAAATTCGGTGTTGTTCATTGCTACTCAGAAGTAGCTCCTGGTTGTATTTAGGGGACTATGCAGTTGCAGTTGGACCTCCCACTGCAAAGCATCCACTCAACCTATAGAGCAATGTCTCCTGCCCTGAGATTATCTTCTTAGTACGTTTACTTGCTGATATATATCTTCCTCTGCTAAAGTATAAGCCCATCCCCAACACCTGGAATAAGGACTTGCACTGAGATCATACTTAATAAGTGTTTTGTATTTTTACTGTTAGGGGATTATAAATGCTTAAGGTATACAGAAATGCAAGGATGGAATTATAGTCATGGCCAGATAAGACCAGCAAACCATGATTTAGTGACTTACATATATTCGCACTACTGGAATGTTAAATCATTAAGATTTAGTGATTCTGGACTTTGATATTTAAAGTTTAACATCAATAACACAAATCACAATTTCCCCTAAAGATTTTAGTTTATTTTGCCTTTTTTAAAATTAAGATATAATTGTCCTTACTTTTACCCTCACTCCCCATTTTTTTTGTTCTTGGGCCACACCTTGCAGTGCTCAGGGTTTATTCCTGGCTCTGCCCACTTCTGGCAGGGTTTGGGGGATAATATGGGGTGCTGGGGATTGAACCCTGGTGGACCACATGTAAGACATGTGCACTCCCCACTGTACTGTTGCTCCAACCTTCTTACTTCCATTTCTGAAGTCTCGAGTTAGTAAATGTTATTTGTTGAAAGCTACAAGGAAATACTCCAAATGTAACTTTATTTTCAAATGTTGAAGTCTCATCCACATGACAGAGGGCCATGGATGTAGCTCAATATGCTATAGTACCCTTGCTTTACCTGTGTGAGGTCCTGGATTACATACCCAAGAATGAAAAGAATGAAAACATATATTTGCTAGTGCTTAAGATAGACTTTAACAAAATTATTCAGAATTCTGTATAAATAGAATATTTATTAAAGTGTTTGACAAGCACTTGGAAATAAAGCATTTAATGTAGGAAGTATGAAGTGATAAAAGATGAAGTAATTTAAAAATCTGAAAGAACATAATTTTGAATCTTGTTTTTACCACTAACAAGAGACCTTAGACAATGTCTATTTTTCCTTCCTCCCATTTAGCAAGTTTGGTTTTTTGTTGCTTTTTTTTTGACTACCAACAGTGTCAGGCACTGTGCTACCTGTTCTGAGAAAACAATGAAGAACAGAAATCTGTCATCATTAATGTCTACAACATTTAATAGTAGAGGATATGTTATATACACATAAGTACATTTAATGGTTTAAGACAACTGGTCTTAAGTCCTATGAAGAAAAAATAATGAGGTATAAAGACATAGTGGTCAGCAGGACATAGTTTATATGCATGAGATACAGATAAATTACAAAAGGAACAGAAGGAGTTATTCAGGCAAAGGAAGTGAAGGAGGAATTTTTCAAGCAAAGAAAACAGCATGTACAAAGATCCTAAACCCTTCCATTCTTTAGAAGCATCTAAAAGACCAGTTTGCCTGGAATGTAGTAAGCCAGGGAATCAGATCAGCAGGTCCTAACAGACCATACTAAATTAGTATAGTTTGTATTCTAAGTACAGTTGTATCACTTGATATGGTCAACAATAGACTACATAAATAACAGTGACTATACTATATGTGATATATGGCATGTGACAGGCCACACTGTCTATGGTTGTATTACACTCTGAATAATACATGATGACAAAATTGCTTAATAAAGCACTTCCCAGAAAGTATCCCCATAATCCAGTCATCAGGAGACACATGACTATACATTGGGAACCCAGTGAAAGTTTTTGAGTGGAATGTGATGTGAAAGTAATTTACCTTTTTAAAACATTAACTTGGCCCTTAAGTAGGGAAATAGTTGGAGGGTATGCAAATAAAAGCAAATAAACTATTTCAGAGATCCAGACAAAGTTTTATGGCTTAAACAGTGAAGAGAGATTATGTACAGACTGAAAAACATTTTAGAGGTAGCAGTAACAATGCTGGCTGTTGGATTGGGATGGAACGTTTTGGGAGAGAACTGTGTCAGGAATGATTTTGAAGTTCCTTTTTAAGCATTTGAGAAACAGCTAAATAAAGACGTCTAGTGAGCTGGTATTTATGATTGGATACTTAAGAGAAGTTAAGATAGAGATATAGTATATAACGTTATAGAAATGAAAAAAAATACCTAGAGAGAGTTCATCTTGAGGAACTCCAGTTTTCGAAGTGTGAAAAGTTGACATTGGTGAAGTAATTTTCAAATAGAGCCTGGAGGTAGAGGATGTAGCTTAGAGTAGAGCCAAAATCCTCACATCTATAAAACTTGGGTTTGATTCCCCCCCCATACCACAAAAGAAAATAATGGAGCTATGACACCATTACAGAGAAATTGCATGATCTCTCTTGTTTGAATTTGGCCAAAAACTGGGCCAAAATATTTGTTTCAGGGAAATCATCAAGCAAAGCCAGACAGATAGATGATGTGCTGGTGTGTGTATCTGACATGTGTGAACCTTAAATTCAGTCCCCAGCCATGTATGACCCCACCCTGACCCCTAGCATCTGTGAATGTGGCCCCTACAAAAAGAGTAATATTTTAAAAATTATCAACCAACAATTATTTATGTACCAGTGAAAAGTACTTTTAACCAACCAATTTTGTGTAACCTAGTTTAAGCCTATATTAATCCAAATTTACTCTTCCTTAACCACTGACCATATATTTTTTTCCCTCCCATAAAAGTTCTGACTTTGTTCCTCCTTGGGGCAAGTTTGAGGTTTTACTTTTTGTTTTGCTTGAGGCCATACCCAGTACTGTTCCGGGCTTACTCCTGGCTCTGTGCTTAGGGATCACTCCTAGTGATGGGCTCGTAAGGGACCATCTGTGGTACCCAGTATCAAACTCAGTTGCCACTTGCAAAACAAGTGCCCTACCAGTTGTACTGTTGCTCCAGCCCCAGTTTTGGGTTTTCTGCTTGAATTTCTGTGTATCCCAGATTACTAGTCTTCAGTCACAAGTAATCATGCTTTACTTGTGATTAATTGTGATAATTGCCATCTCAGTGTTTAGCTTGATAGACATCAGGCATAAGGCAAGCGGATAACACAAAATTGAAGA